TCTGGTTTTTGCCTTTTAATTGTGTAATTTGCCTTGTAATTTTGTCTTGAAAGCTGGACAAGATGTACTGGGTAAAAGGAACTGTTCTGCACAGGCCTTAATAACGTGGTGAGAAGGTGTAGGGCAGGGAGTGTTCTACAGTCCCGATAAGTCTCAGTCTTTCGGTGGGCCTGTGCCTCTAGACTGTGAACTTCACACGTGTTTTCTTCTCCCCCCTTAGGTGGGATGGCTAGAGGGGACAGGAGCTGGGTTATTTCCCTTCCCCCAGGTCAGTTAGGCTCTGATAACTAGTTTTCCTGTAGGGCAGGCTTTGTTAGGAAGAACAGAGTGCTCTGCTGTTTCCAAATGGTTCTTTCCCCTCCCACTGCTGGAAGCCTGAGGGGATTTTTCTCTGATATTTACTGTGGGAACCTGGTCATGCTCCTGGAGGTAAATCTCACAATATTGTGTGGGGGGTCCTTATGACTGGGTCACCCCAGAGTTTTTCACTCTCAGTGTTGCGCACTCTGAGCCTCCAGAAATTCATCAAATACAGTTCAGGGAACCCAGCTGGCACAGGTTCCCCTGGCAGTTCCTGCCTGTGAATCTTTGCTTGGTAAGCCTGGTGACTTGTATCCACCTGTTTGTTTCTCCAATCTTGGGAGCAGTGGTTTGCCCAGTGTCCTCTCTTCTCTTACAAATCCAAGAACAGTTGCTGATTTTTCAATCTGTTCAGCATTTTAGTTCTTAGGATGGAGTGGTGATGCCCAAGCTCCTTACACGTGGAATTCTCCAATGTAGAATTGAAATGGTGAAAGCAGACATCCTTGCCTCGTTCACATCTTTGTGGAAAAGCATTAAATCTTTCACCATTAAGTTCAATGTTAGTATAGATTTTTCCTAGATATCTTTTATGAAATCGAGGAATTTCCCATCTTTTCCTACTTTATTGAGAGTACTTATCATAAATAGGTATTAAATTTAGCCACATGCCTTTTCTGCAACTATCGGACAAATCCAGTGGTTTTTATCCTCTACTCTATTAATATAGTGTATTACATTAATTCTGTTTTGGATGCTAAAACAACTTTGCATTCCTGGGATAAACCCCATTGGTCTCAATAGATGATCCTTTTTACATGTTGCTGAATTTGGTTCTTCATTCATTCCTGTTGATTTGAGTGAACATCTGATGTGATTTCATTTCAGCTTGAAGAAATCTCTTTAGTATTTGTGGCAAGGCAGATCTGCTGACAATGAATCTTCTGTTTTGTTTATCTGGGAATATTTTTATCTCACCTTCATTTTTGAAGGATAGTATTGCTGGGTGTAGAAGTTTTCATTGACAGGTTTTATTTTTCCTTCAGCCATTTTACTGCCTTATGGACTCCATTGTCTTGATGAGACGTCAGCTATTAATTGTACCATTGTCCCCTTTATGTGATGGGTCATTTTTCTCCTGCTACTTTTGTGGTTTTCTTTCTGTCTCTGACACGCTGCGCTGTGGTTATGGTGTATATGGGTGTGGATTTCTCTGTGTTTGTCCTACTTGGGTTCACAGAGTGGTGGTCTTTGGATGCCCTGTCCTGTGTCTTGCTGCACTGTGGGGTTCTTGAGGAGAAGACCAGGACAGAGCCACAGTTCCTCCTGCTCTGACGGCACTCCAGAGGCAGCACTCATTTTACATCACAGTTTCACTTTTTCCAATTTATTGGTCAATAATTTTGCATTTGGGGTTCTTAGTGACAGAATTTATTTTACTTAGTCCTTCTGTGTCAGAAATACTGAATTCAGCTTGTTCTAACTGTTCTGTGTACACTATAAGGGAGTTTAGAAGAGAAATCTATTAAAAAGCCACATATATCAACTACATCTTGTGACCAATTACAGAAACATAGGTTGTAGCAGTTTTGCACATTTTCTCTTTGCATGTTATAGTGTGTGTTTATTTGTATATATGCACCATTTTCTTCTCTCTGCTTTCCATTTTTTTTAAATATACAAGTTGTCAGAGGTTAACTTTCCTATTTAGTTTTAACATAAGAGCATAAGAGAATATTCAGTGGAATAGTGACAGAATTTGAGGGGTAATTAATGTAGCCAATGATAGATTCAATGACTGTTGGGACTGTGAATATGCTGCCTTTGGGGAAAGAGTGAGAATTTCTTCACTTGCAATAAGGATGGATGTATCGTGTTAGGTGAAAATATAGCATTGTTTTCTTATAGTATGGAAGTTCAAATATGTTTGAAAGGATGCGTACAGAAGCTGACTACCCAGAGAGTCAAACTCTGCCTGTTTTCCACTGATTGCCTCAGATCCAAATCCACTTCTCTTTACCTGCACTGTGATAATGGAGCTGGATCCTGTAAGCATTTCTCTTTTGCAGTTGGCACAATGTTAAGCTTTGCCAGTACAGAGTGCCGGAGGGTCACTGCTGGAAGAAGGGACTTCTGGTTTCGATGTGCATCCTTTCTCTTCTTCCTATTGCACAGCTGTCAGAGTCACGTGTGGAAGACATGCAGCAGTGCCACCTCTCTGGATGGTTTCTCACTGAGTTTCAGCAGCACCCCCATGGGTGGATTCCCAGTGAGTCTTGCAGACACTTCAGGAGGAAGTTTTCCAGGCTTAGCCAGCATGCACCTTGGAGGGGTGTATTCCTGCCCATTAGTCTCTGCTCAGGGACTATGGATCAGCTGTGTCCTGGGACACCCCAGGGAATGTCTATGTTGACCACTGGGCTGCAGCCACACAACTCTCCAACACAGAATGAACTCCCACCTTGGGGAGGGGACCACCTTCCAAGTTTTGTCCTTTCTTGAATCTAGAGTTCTCTTTACTCCTTTACAATTAATCCCCTGTTCTCAATAATTTCTATATGAAAATTCCTCTGTTGAAGACATTGTGTGGTTTCTATCCCCTTATTGGACCATGATTATTGATACAACAAGGAAAAACCAAGCAGGGAAGGGGACTATGAAGTTTGCATGTGTGCATGCATGTTTGCACATGTGCATGCACACGTGTGTGTGTGCATGCATGAATGTAGGCTTCAGATTTGAAATAGGGAGGCCAGGAAGCTCTCACTGAGAAGGGGGCAGTGGAGTAAGATTCAGGAGGCAGGTCAGTAAGTGCGGCCATAACTAGAGGAAGAGCATGACAGATGCAGGGACAGCATGGGTAAGTGGCTTGTGACAAGGTTATCATGACTGGAGCCAACAAACAAGGGACAGAGGAGGGGAAATGAGATCAGATCACATGGGACCTTGTAAGTAGTAGCAAGGACTTTGGCTTTCGCGCTGTGTGAGACGGGAGCCCTGGGGGAGGGATGTGATCCAACTTGTTACCACTGGATCCCTCTGGGTGCTATGCTGGTTACAGCAAGCTGGCCTACAGCAAGTAGCCAGGATAGAAGCAGGGAGCACCGTTGGGAGGCTGCTGTTGTGTCAGGTGAGAGAAAATGGTCTTGGATCAGGGCGCGGTGGTGGAGAGCTGGCTATATTTAGAAGTGGAGGGACTTGCTGATGAATCCAGTGTGGGGAATGAGAGGAGGAGTGGGGCCCCAGCTGACCCCAGGCACTCTGGCCAGAGCACAGGAAGAGCATCAAGATCAGGCAGAGGGTTGCAGGCGCTCACACAGCGGCACAACCAGTGGGAACATCTCCCACACAGGACCCCTGGCCCTGAGCCCCCATTCTGCAGCTCAACCACAGCACCCCCAGCTTCTGTGGGGAGGGGCCTTCGATTGCAGGGCTTGCAGGACATTCCTCTTCTCGGTTTAAGGCTGATGCTTTTTTACCACCACTTCCTGGAAGTTCACACTATAGAACTTGCCAGAAATCTGCCCTGCAGCATACCAGGGAAAGGTGTTCAGGGAGAGATGCCTCACCAGAGACATTCTGCTATAAAGCTGCCCAAGGGAGAGCTGGGGAAGCTGCAGGAGCTGGATGCAGGGAAGGAAGACGGGCAACCTGCAGAGCGAGGTCCGGAACACACCCTTCCTCCCGCGACGCCTCTCCTGCGCCCCCTACTGACACAGTTGAGCACAGGCGAGCCCAGACCCGTTTTCGCAGAGCGCCGCGGTGCACCGGCAGCTGAGAGGGTTGCTACCTAGCACAAGTATTAGGTATTTCTTAAGTGCTCGACTTCTCTTTCCAACATTTTCCCACGGTTCACGCTGACACCTGAAATAATTCTCATTTTAGAGATTAGTTTGATTGAATTAAACAATTCCAACAAATGTTAAATGGGCACATATTTTAATGTGCAAAACACTGCAAGAACCTGCGGGGCACCTGGAAAACACAAGTCTGGGGGCTGCTGCTCAGGCGCCCCCAGGCCAGTTAGGAAGCAGGAGTGGAGGGGGACCTCCGCTTGGCACATGGGGGCTGACCACTGTTCACTCTTGCCCACCGTGTCCACGCCGCGAGCCCAGGTAGCTTCGGAGACACCCAGCTGCGCCAGGGGGAGGGTCTTCAGGCGGAGAGGAAGGCCCCAGAGAACCGGGAGACCCCTGCCCCGGTGTGGCATCCTCAAATCCTTTCGGGCCTCTGGAGGGGCCGTTCTGTGACTGACGTAGCATTGGAAACTTTACTACTGCAAACGCATCATCCTATAGAAAGTTAATTACGCTTGTGTAGAAACTCAGCAACACCTCAGACGGAAAAGGAGAGGGACAAACCCACACCTCGCCCCACTCCGCCCTCCGGCGGCCCACGCCCTCGCGCTCCCGCCGCCGGGCGCGTCCACGTGAGCGCGCGCCCCC